TAAAATCTAACCATCCACCATCAAAAGACTTATCAGTCTCCTCTCTTCAAAAGCCCCTAATAACCTAGAATGAGTTTGCTCTCTGTTTGCCACTGTAATATAAATTTGGATAGTAAAATAGTATTTTAAAAGTATGTGAGTAAGAAAATGTCATTAAGCTATTATTGGGGTGGGAAAAAGTCGTTAACTCAACTAGAAATAGACAATCTCAAGCATAATTGGAACTTTTAAAATTGGGAAAATATTAAAATGGGGGGTATTTTGGTTTGTAGTTAATAAAATGCATAACCGTTTGTTAAATTCAAGGGGGGTTAAATCCTGGTAATTTAAAACACAAGACCTAAAATAGTTGACCAAAACGTTAGCATAGATAAAGTCTTTCTCTGGTTAAATAAAATCCAATTATATCTAATGTTGTGTTTTTAAGTTAGATTGACCCATTAATATAACAATAAAACTATGCTTACAACTTTTTTATATAACCCTGACGTGATAGTTCGCAATTGGTCAGTTCGCATTTAAACAGGTAAGACTCGCTGTGAATTAATCAATTATAAGCTATCAAATCAGAGTTGTATGAAAAAGTTGTAAGTATACTCCTACTCTTGATATAAATCATATTTTATGTGACCTATTTATTAAACTTTCAATTTACATAGAAAGTCAAAAACAACTAAACCAAATTACTAGTTGTCTTTGCCAAACTTTAAAGTAAAGAAATAAGAAAAATAAAAAAAAGTCAATAGTAAAAGTGGAAAAGTTATTTGATTGGTCAAAATTTGGGGCCACCAAAAGTAGCCATCATTAATCCGTTCCTTCTTAGATTGAGGATGAGATTGCTCTCTAATTTCCCACCATCACATTCGTATCTTTTTCTTGGTGCTCCACTTTTCTCCTCACAACTATGCTAAAAAGTCATTTTCTTTTAAAACAAATATTTCCTGTAAATATTATTTATTTTAAAAGAAAATGACTTTTTATTTGTTAATAAATCTTTGACTATTTCCTCACATTCATATCTATCTTGTTGATTTAAGGAAATTATATTAATACAAGAAAATACTTATCTGATTATTTTGAAAAAAGGAAATACAATTATTTAATACTTGAGATTTTATTTTTTAAATGTTATAAAATAAATTTTATTATATAAGGTAGAAAGCAACTCAAGTATCTTAAGCAATTTTCTCACATAATTTTAATTTTATTATAATTTTGTTTTTATTTATAGCCGGTATTTAAAGCCATTACAAATATTACTCTAATTTTTGTGGCCACTTTTTAAAGCAGCCACAAAAGGGGCCACTAAGAAAATGTTTTCTAGTGTGATGAAGAACTAGGGTATTAAAATGTGTTGAAAAACTTGAATATGTATATTAGTTGGTACGTGTGTGTATATATATACCCTAAATACAAGCTTTAAATGAAATATTTTTATGGTAGGTGTGGACGTTGGGAAAATTTGGGAAATTACCACGACTCGGGTTTAAATGTATTCCAATAGATAAAACGATTTTTGGGGATATTATCAATTTAGGTACAACTTTTTTTGTGAAATACTAAAAATGGACACAAGTTTTAATTTGTTCATTTTAGAGACACTAAATAGTAATTTTGTTCAATTTAAGGACAAAACAGATACTACTTTTAATTTGTTCATTTTAGTGACATTGAATAGCAACTTTGTTCAATTTAGGGGCACTTGCGGTTAATTTCAACAGAAAACGAAGTCCGTTTGGTTTGTTATTTTGGAAATAGTATTGGATAGTTAAGTAGGGTGATTATTACGAGATAAAATTTAAAATTTAACAAAAAAAGCCCTATAGGTTTGCTAATTTAACTAAACACCCTAATATATAAAATTTTTATAAAATAACAAAAACACCCCCACCCACCCACAGTGCCAGATTTCGGCCACCACCGTTGAAATTTGGTTGGAATCTGCCATTACGACGCAGACTGGTCGGATTTGGTCGGTCGTGCGTCGATCTGGCTTTTTCTGGCCCAATCCACCACGGATTTGGCCGAAAAAGGCCAGATCTACTGCCAGATCTGGCTGTCGACGATGGCAAAAGGCCAGATCTGGCCGTCGACGGTGGCAAAAGGCCAGATCTGGCCGTCAGCGACTACCAAAGATATGACTGTCATTGTCGTTCAACGACGGCCAGATCTGGCCGGAAAAGGTCAGATCGGCGAATTACCGGCTAGTTTCGATCGTTTGTACGCCGTTATGACAAATTCTGACTACCACTGATGGTGGTTGTCAGAATCTGGCAACTATGGGTGGGTGAGGGTGTTTTTGTTAATTTTTAAACTTTTTGTGGGGGTGTTTAATTAAATTAATAAATTTTAGGGGTCTAAAAGAGTTAAATAAAATATAATAGTATTTCCTAAATAATGAAACAAACAGTTATTTTGAGAATAAGATTGAGAATAAGGTAGGAAATAAAGAACCAAACGAACCCTAGATACCCCTCGTTATTATTATTATTATTATCTTTTGTTTTAGTCTTTCAATTTTAAATTTAAGAACTACGAAAATTAAATTAAAAAAATATTTAAAAAAATTTATTTCAAAGTTTAAATAATAATAATAAAAGAAAAACCAAAAGTTATAAAATAATTTAAATAAAAAAGAGAAAAACCCATTTTAAATTAAAAAAAAAAACTAACAAAAAAATTTAAGCAAAAGAAACAACAACCATTTTTTTTTTTAAATTTTAAAAAAATTAAAGAATAAAAAAAAAAAAAAAAGACATTAGTTTTTCCTCTGGCTAGCAAAGCAACCGGTAGAGGCCAACATCGATTGCCAAGATCTGGCCCAACCTAGGTAGATCAAGGTTGTGTGAGACCACTGCTCTAGCGTGGCCTCAATCTACCCATGGTAAGATCGAGCCACGCTAGAGCAGTAGCCTAGATCTAGCTAGGTCGGACAAGATCTTAGCCAACGATGCTGCCCTACTAGATGCGCCATTGGCTTGAGGGAAAGCCAAAAACTTTTTTTTTTTTTTGTAGTTTTTTAAATATTTGTTTTATTTAAAAATTTTAGACATGTGCTAGTGTTTTATTGGAAAAAATTATTTTAGTAGACTTTATTTTTATTATAACTTAAATTATTGATTTGCCCTCATTTCGTATTAAATGTAATTGCAATTAATAGCAACTATCCATAAATTAAACAAATTGCTTGTGCCCTTTTTTAGCATGTTATGAAAAAAGTTGTACCTAAATTGATAATATCCCTTGTTTTTAATTTAAAAATAGATAGAAATAGAATAATTCTAGATATGTGTCGTACCTGGTTCAATTGTATTCCTATATATTTTTTTTCTTTTTTGTTAAAGAATCGATAGAAATAGAAGAATTTAAAGAAATAGAGGAAGAGAGACATAGAAACAAGAGAAAAGAAGGTAAATGATGAATTCTTTTCTTTTAACAAAAAGTGTTTGGACAGTTAGAAGATTAAATTTGTTTATTGGAATTACTTTAAAAAAAAAAATATCTACACTTTGATTCCTTAAATAAAAATATTTACCCTATCCATACTTAAAATAAGGGTCCCTTTCAACCTAATATATATAGTTTCTTTGGATCTTGGACCAAGGTTCAAGTAGTTGTAGATTATGAAATTATAAGTTGAGAAAATTGTAATAAAAATTTTATGCATTATGATGAACGCTTTCCTTTAGATAAAAAACTGTAATGATAACAGTTAGTAGGATATAATCTTATTTTCTTAAATCATATCTATCGTACATTTACAATATAAGATGATTTAATTCTCTCTCTTGGTTGATAGAATGCTAACCCACCAAATCAACATTAACGGCTTTGGGTGCCACTTGCAAATTGAACCGAACCCACTGCTCAAAACACTTGGTTATGGCCTTATCATAAATGTAATGTTGATGAAAAATAATAGATGGGGACTTGAGAGTTGTTGATAAGAACGCAACATCCATTGTCCTTCACGCAAAATTTGGTTTGGAGTAAAATTTATAATAATATTGTTTTGTAGTGAAGAATAAAAGGATTAGTACAAGAAAAGCAATGGGAGCTTTTGCCTTTATGCCAAAAGTGGGTCCCTAACCGCAAAAGCCAATGACTTTGAAGGCGGCGTTAAAAGCCAAAGCCAAACCCTCGCCTTTGCTTTTTTTCTCTTCTCTTTTTCTCACTTTCATCCTTAACCACTACTTCTCTTGGTCATAATATCTCCTCTTTTTGCTTACTCGGATGCCAGCTGGCACCCCTTCTTTTGACATTTTTAAATTTACCACTTTTTCACTTTAATACTACATTTACTCTATCACCAAGCTAATAAAATATTCTCCTGTCAAATTATTTATAAGAAAACTTTATACATTTTATTTACAAAAAAATTTCAAAGAGTTTTTTGATATTTTTAAGAGAATTTTTAACAGTTATAAAAAGATTTTTAATACTTTTTAAACAAAACAAATGAGTTTAATACTAAAAGATCTTGACAGACTCAATAAAGTTTAAAATAATATAATAATTTATCAAATGTAATGATATTATACTATTTTAACTATTTTTTGAATATTATTATGTTTAATAGTATTCATATTTTTCCAGGTATTTACAGACTATTAAAAGAAGCTATTAACTAATTTAATTAAGGATATTTAGTATAATTTTTATCAGATCTGATTACAGTATTTATCTTTAAGAAAATAAATAAACACTGTTTTAAAAAGTTTAAGAAATAGGATACCGTACCTGTTTTCAAATGCTGGGATTCATATTATAAGTTTAAAGCCTATCCATCGGGAAAAGCTTTTATCTAATACACTTTATTACGTGGATTACAGGTGGAAAAAAAATTGACAAAGAAGTCACAAACACTCCCAAAATAAAGAAAAAAGAAAAACTAAGAAGTAAATCAACTGAAAAGCTGAAAAAGAATAAAAAAAAAATAAAAAAAATAACTTCTGATCCTTCACGTTCTTTATGCTTTAGCTTGGAGACTTACTTGAGAGGGTTTTGTGGGTTTTTAGAGATAGACAAAAGCACTTTTCTATCGCACTTTACTTTAAAAAGGGCTTCTTAAAAGTCTGTCTTTCTTTCTTTCTCAACCTCTTTAACATTCTTTCTGCCATTTCCATGGGATTTAGTTGTTGCCCTTCTAACTTGGCAACTAGTTCTTGATACAAACAACACCAACGGTGGAAATATGTCTGAATCAAACAAAGATCCCGCTATTAAGCTTTTCGGTGCTAAGATTCCGCTTCACGATACTCAGATTCCGGCTGTATCCGATTCCATGGTTTGTATTCTGTTTACTTTTGTTTTTGTGTTTATGTATGCCCATGTTCTTCTTCTTTGAGATTCTATTCTTTGCTTGAAACTAGATTTCAAGTATAATGAATGTTTAATATTTTAGTACTTTAACTGTTTTTGTTTAGTGCGAAATATGAGATTTGAAGCTGTGTTTTTGTTTAATGTTTTGGATTTTTTGTTTGTTTTGTTGTCTAAAATATTGTTGTTATACTTGAATGAACCAATGAAATCGATAAAGTTGAACTGGGTATTTGAAAAAAGTGGTTCATTTTCACTCTGTAATATAATTTGTAAGGTTTGGTTTTCTTTTACAATTGATTACTTTTTTGATTTGTTACTTGCTAGGATTTTTGTTAAATTACAGAAAAATGAAATTTACTCTTTTTTTTTTTTTTTTTTTTTTTTTATCATTTACATTTTTAGTATTGTGTAGAAAATTCTGTGTAATAGGTTAATTTTCGATATTGGTTCTATATTTTTGGTTTATAGGCAAAATGGATCATGTGAAACTTGTGTGGCAACTGGTTAGAATTAGATGAAATTAGAGGTCCCTTTCTTTAGAAAAGTGAATCATTTAATATCTCGATTTTAATTCTATAACACCGATTTCATGCTACCGGTGAAAATATTATTGTTTTCTCCTGATTCTGTATTGAAACGCAGCATAAGGTTTCATTTTGCTTCTCTTACTATTTCTCTTCTTTTGAGAGGGGATTTAACACACGGCGTTTCTAAACTGATAATAAACAGTCAAGATTGGATCAATGTAATTTACTAGAAGTGCTAGCTTTGCTGCTTCAAAAAGGATTTGGTTATGGAAATAGTAGATTAATCATGTTTTTGTTAAAACTTTATTCTGCAAATTCATTTCTCTTTTCTAATTTATTAATGTTAATGTCACCAGAGATATCTATTCAGTTTTAGTTAGTTTATCTCAGATTTGGAAGAAAGAAATAAAATACAGCCTTTCTAGTCATATAAAACATAGTGTACAGACAAGCCGCCCTTTTTCCTTTTATGTATGCAAAAAAGAAAGTAATCTTCAAATCTGCTCTAAATGTAGAGTTAACAGTTTTGGTTTTAATTTTCAGGACATTAGCAAAGAAATAACAAGCGAAAGTAATGGCCTTGAGATGGATCACTCTGATGAGCCTGATAAGTCCTCTACTTTGAATAATGTCAAGGAAGAAGACCAGGCTCCTGTGCAAGAAAATGAGGTCCAAGTTAATCCTAAGCTGAAGGTAGATCAGGCCGAGACAGATACGGACCAAGAGAAAGTTTTCAAAAGGCCAGACAAGATCCTTCCATGTCCACGTTGCAACAGTTTAGATACTAAATTTTGTTATTTTAATAACTACAACGTCAACCAACCTAGGCATTTCTGCAAGAATTGCCAGAGATATTGGACAGCCGGAGGAACTATGAGAAATGTTCCTGTGGGTGCTGGGCGGCGTAAAAACAAGCACTTTGCCTCTCAATATCGTCAGATAATAGTATCTTCAGATGGGGTGCCCATTACTGGTCCGGAAATGCCAAACTCAGCCAATCACCAACTTATATCATGCGGTGATTCTACAACCACATTGATGCCTACAACTGGAAATGGGACAGTTCTAAAATTTGGCCCTGAAGCACCACTTTGTGAATCCATGGAGACTGTACTTAATCTTGGAGACCCGAAGAAAACTGTTGAGCTGAGTGCTGTAAATGTTGTGGAAAACCGAGAGAAGACTGCCCTGTGTGGATCTTCTGTAACAGCTTCCAGCATTCAAGGAAATGAATTGCCTGAAAATGTTATGCAAAAGGAGTGCGTCTTGTTGACAGGATCTTGCAATGAGCGTAATACACCACATCCTATGTTTTACCCTGTTCCTTCATGGGGTGCTCCTTGGAATCCGAATTGGAACAATGTGGCGTCCATGGCAGCAGCTCAGTGCTCTTCTGATCAAGTTTGTATGCCAAATGGCAGTAATCACATTCCAGTTCAGTGGTGCCCAACACCGGTGCTGGCAGTTCCCGGATACTGCCCACCCAACATTCCTTTACAATTTGTGCCTGCAACATATTGGGGCTGCATGACCATGTGGGCAGCTGGAGCAGGGAACATAGCAGTGGGTGGATCTAATGGTTGCCTGTCTCCATCGTCCTCTACTAGCAACAACAGTTGCGGCTCGGGCAATGGTTCGCCAACTCTAGGCAAGCATTCAAGGGACCCAAATCCTATGGAAGAAGAGCAATTGGAGAAATGTGTTTTGGTGCCAAAAACACTGAGAATCGATGATCCAGATGAAGCTTCAAAGAGCCCTATATGGGCTACACTTGGTATTAAACCCAATGAGATGGATCCCAAATCAAGAGGAACTATTTTCAAAGGTTTTGAACCCAAAAAACAAAGCAAGGGTCATCTACTGCATGGTTCTCAAATCTTGGAAGCAAATCCGGCAGCTCTTTCGCGGTCTCATACATTCCAAGAGAGTACATAGAGCACCATTGATGGAATTCTGGACAAGAAACTTGGGTTGTATCATCTTTGCTTATTTTGGGCACTTACTATCTGTTTCTGAGCAAGGCACAATTGTTCCCTGGCATACTCTTCTCCCTTTAGGGCAATCAACTTTGTAGAAACTAGCTCTTGGAAATGACAAGCTGCCATGGTAATCAACTTTTGTTAAAAAGACGTATTTGTAAATATTAGAGGATAGAAACTTAGCCCTTATCTGTTCATATACTCGTCTGTATCTTTGCATTCTCTGATAAAAACAAGAGAGCTGTTTTTTAAGTTAGTAGGTAGAATTCAAACATTAAAAAGCCTAACCCAAATTTGGGTTTCTTTCTTTGGATAAAACTGTTGTATTTATTGGCTATATTTTAATTCTTTCGTGCTCATTCCTGAAACTTTATGGGACTGAATTTATTATGATTACTTTTCCTTTGGAATTTTAGAATGCTGAGTTAGTTATGGTTGTAATGTCCAAGTTTGCCAAGTGATAGATATTAGAATATTCAGTTTCAGCTGTTTCAGTGATTTGCGGCACTCAATTTTTGTCTGGTGAGTGAATTTATATATATAGCTTCTTGCTTCTGTGTGGAGCTGAAATTGCCTTCCTTCTTACTTTGCACTAGTAGCTTTCATTATTTACAAGAATTTCTTCCGCAAATTTCTGATGCAGAGAATAATTTTGGTTTTCTGCTTTTGTTTGAAGCAATTACTGGGAGTTCTGGAAATTTCTTGAACTGGGCAAACTATTAGACCATAGATTACGGAGAGCTTTTACTTTTCTTCTTTATGTCTATGTTCTTTTGACCCTTGTTTCAACTTAAAAAAGTACTTTGTTGAAGTATTGTCTACGGAAAAATGCGTGTGTGAAGAGCTTGTCCATAATATGGTCCCCTTTCCGAAGGCAAAAAGATTCAATGGTCGTAACAATATGTCCTGTTTTTTTCTGTGATTTATGTAATCTTTCTTTGAAAGAACTACTTCAGTCTTCCCCAGTTACCATTAAAGACTTAAAGTAATTCCTAATTCTTATAATCATTTAGATGTTATTGGGATGCTAATTCTATTTTTGTTAGTAGACATCACATTATTTTGTAATTTACATTTTAAACTTAAACTTATGATGTCAAATCACATTCTAATAACATCATATAATATTATGTTATGATACATGAGTAATTTTGTCTCTTTGTATGAGCCATTGATGTGAATTAGTCAAATAATTTATATGGGTAATAGTCCATATGTAGTGATAATTTTTAAAAAAAGAGGTTACATTTTTTAATTATTTTTAAAGAGAAAATATTCGTTGCCCTCCCGACCTTTTCGGAAAAGCCGGGTCTTTGCGTAAGTCAAATGATTTTAATTAAGTTACCCCAGCCGTTTCATAAATCCATCAAATTACCTCCAAATGAGAGATAAGTTAACTGATTAACCAAGTAAGAGTCTATTAGAATTTTTTTTTTGTCATTTTCCAAGCTGATTGAATAAAATTTTCCACCCTAATTTTATCAAATTTACTTTGCCACCCTTGATTTCGGAAACACACAACTTCCACCCATATTTTGAACTCAAATGTTAAAATTAACCTTTATACCCACCAGAAATCTAACCCTAATTAAATCCTATCATATGAAACCAAAAAATATATTAAAATTATAAAAAAAATAAAAAATCTATATAAAAAAGCATACCCTTGTAAAGTTTGGCCATGGCCATGACTAGCTATCCCGGCCAGGTTGCGAAGGCATAACCACGAACAAGCCTGGTCAATGTGCAAGTGGCTTGGCCCCACAAGACTAGGCCATGGGCTAAGCTGTGCGACATGGCTGTGAATGACCTGTTAGAAAATTTCCTAATTGTAGGCTAACATTAATTATGTTTCGGTTTGATAAAATCAGGTAAATGCATAGTCCAATGAGATATCCTGATGGGTTTATGTGACCATTCCAGATTTGCCCAATACACTTTATTTTGAATAATCTGGGTTGACGATAAGTGTGGGTTTAGGCTTGTAATGGGCTTTAAGGTTTATTGGATCTTTAACGGGAGGCCCCAATAGATTAATATAAATTAGCTAGGTTCCTTTTCCAAAACGTGATTGTACACTGAACCCCATTTGGAAGTCGTCATTCTAGAGAGTTTCTTGAAAGGAAGACAAGTCATTGCTTGCAGGGAATTCAAGAAATTTAGAAGCCATTGCAGAATTATGTTTTTCTAATCCTTAATCTTTAAATTTAGTAGTCTATAATCAATATGCAGATTTTGAGATTAATTGTTAGAACTTAGTGGAATTCATGTTAGAATTCCTACATTTGGTATCTGAGCGGTGCATATTAGGTTATAGAATCTGAATTGTGAAATTGAAATCAGGACGGTGCATATTAGCTTAGGAGGCTGTCTCAGATAAATTCTTGAGGTGATATATATATGGTCAAGAATTATGATATATATATGGTCAAGAATTATGATATATATATGGTCAAGAATTATGATTATGAGTGAATAAATGCTACTGTGGTTGGTATAGTTGATTCATTAACCAAGGTGTTAAACTTGTTAATTACTATATAAATGTTGATAACATGTGTTTTGAGTTTTTGATGTACTTGGTTAGTGGGATTTTTCTTCAATTTATTATGTGATATCCTTTGGATTTGTAATAAAAATGATAGATTTGTGGATCAATGACATTATGAGAAATGATATGTTATTGTTATTATATAATGTCACATGGGCACGTAAGATATGTTACATTGTGACCTGCTGAACTAAAGGTTGATGACCTCATTGTTTTTATGAGTTGTTTACTTGTTTTCCTATATGGAAATGTATTATTGTAACTTTAGATGCATACGGTTCTGCTTCCATGATAAGGGGTTGTGAAAGTTTAATATAAACATTTGAAGATTGTTGTAGAGTACACCAGTATTGATTTTATGTTGGTTGATCCCCTAACTAGAGGACTAAGACCTATTGTTTTAAACGCCATGTATAGAACATGGGCGTTTTAGGGTCTTTTGATATTTTGGGTTAGAGGGAGTTTGACAAATTTTTGTTGACTTTATGCCATTTTATTTTGATCATGATCATTGATTTTTGTATACTTGTATATATACATATACATATACATATACGTAGAGGTGGGTAGGGATTGGACCCAATCGGGCTCGGGTTTAGGCCCGGTTGGGACCAGTCTTTCATGGGCCTGGGATCGGTCTCAAGCCCATGAAAAATTTCAAGGCCCGAACAGGTCCCTAGGATCGGTTCTAGGCCCATAGGACTGGTCCTGGGACCGGTCCCATGGGCCTAAACAATTTTTTTACCCCCCCTTAATTTTTTTTTTTTTATCTATTTAGACTTAACCAAAATTATTTAGGGGGTTTTTGTAATTTTTTAGGTGTAATTTGTAAATTTTTTTAATTAATTAGTAAATAAATAATTAAATATAATGAATGATTAAATGTTAATGAATAATGACATAATTCTTAATTGGTTGTAAATTTAGGGTGTTTTTAACTTAAACTTTAAGGAGGTAATAATAATTTAATTTTAACATAAATATAATATTCACACAATCGCATTTCACAAATAAACAATTAAATAAATTTGATTTTATTAAATTATTAATTTACATCGTCAACAGTAGTTACATCCTCCAAATTTGTGTTTCTGAAGAGGTTGAGTAGTCCGGGATCTTCAAGGTGCTGCTGATCTCTTCTGTCTGTATGAGTCCAATCCTGTAAACATGTTATGACTTCAACCGTCTCATTGGTTAAAGAACATCTTCTCTCTTCAACAGTGCGGCCACTAATTGAGAATGTTGACTCAGATGCAATTGTCGAAACTAGCACAGATAAAATGTCACGTGCCATTTGGGCTACTATAGGGAATTGACTTGTATTGTGGTTCCACCATTGAAGTAAATTGATCTCACGTTTCTCCTTTGTGGTCATGTAGGACATGTCCATTTGTAAGTATCGATGCAGCTCATTTGGTCCAAGTTGTCTATACGAGCTGCTACTTCCACCACCACCACTGCCGCATTCGACAGACCTCCAGATGCTTGTTACTTGCCATCCTTGGTCTTCATCAGGGTCCTGCTACTCGCCTCTGCTAGCGTTGGACGCTCCAATGTGCCTAGTCTAATACAAAGAAAAAAGGCTATCCAATTTTCTGTTAAAGTTTATTAAATAAGAACTATAGTCATATTGTAAATTATGACATATCTTAGCAATCGTAAAATTAAATATGCTTAATTTAAATCTAGGATCTACAATAAGACCTTATCTATATAAGAATGAAATATCAACCAATATATTTGGTATTTTTTTTTTCCATTGGAACAACAATGTCGCACAAATCTTCATTATATCTATATGTAACAATAATTGTAGAAATTCAAAGTAAAATATTTAACACTACATTAGTTGTAGGACAATAAATACCATTTAATATATTAGTGGAATGCTAAAAAACTTTAAGAAGCGAAAAAACATTTCAGAAACCGTCCAATTGGATTTGTTGACGACTTCCTTCGGATAGGTCTTCTGGTTGACGAACTCTGTAATTTGTGTTGTGGTTGGTATAACTTTTTCCAACATCAGGTACATGGAGTTCCAACGGATAGACATGTCTGTATGTAACTTCTTTGGTTCAATCGGCGGATCCTCTTGGCGACAATATTTGCGGAACACAATCAATCTTGAATTGCTACCGACGATGAATCCGATAGCTGTGCGCACCCTTTCAATCCTCGAATGTATAGCTTTTAAACTTGCTTTAACAATCAAATTAATGATGTGACAAGCACATCTTTGGTGAATTTTTTTTCCTTCACCAAGCGGATCCAATCTCTTTTCAAACAAATAAATTGACGAGGTGTTAGCAACTGCATTATTAAGAGTTACCATCACAACTCTCTCAGATAATATATATTCTTGTAAAAATTCAATAATTGTAAAATAAATAGTGTCAGCACTATGTTTTTCATATAATACTTTAAAACTTATCAATTTTTGTTGTAAGTGCCAACCATGATCTAGGTAATGTATTATGACACTTAAAAATCTGTTTTTGATCTAGCAACCCATATATCTGAAGTAAGTACAGTAGATATATTCCTAAAATTTTCAAAATTCTTTGTTAAGTTGATCTTTTATTTTATCATAAAGTTTTATTATGTCTCTTCTAATTGTACTTCTACTAAAAGGGCCAAATGTTGGACAAAACCATTTTTAATCATTTTAACAAAATAAGGATTTTCAGATAAAGAAATAGGAGAGTCCATAGCACATATGAATTTTGCTATGTACTCTCGTGGTTTGAGTGTATTGTATTTCCATGTTGAGAGAGTCGAGGATTGTGGATTAAAATTAAGTTGAGTTTGAATTTGCCTACCTGGTGCGGTTGAACTTGAATCGGACTGGCAAGACTGCTGCATATATCGAGGGTGCTTCTTCTCCAAGTGTTGCCTCATCGTTGAAGTCCCGTTCTCAACGTCGATAACGGTTGGACAAAAATTACATTCCTTGCACATCTCTTAACCCAACCCATTTGGCTTTGGCCATTTT